CAATTAACTAATTAGAAATTAAAACTTAAAATATAAAAATCAACATTTTAACCAATCAGAAGTTGATAAATTAAGAAATAACATTTAAAACATACCTGGAAACACCAGTTAAATGGATAGATTCCTTTAAGCATGTTTCTATGTATGTATGTATGTATGTATGTATGTAGTATGTATGTATGTGTGTATGTAGGTAGGTAGGTAGGTATCTATGTAAGTATGTGATGAATACATAACTTTGTCCTGTTTACTCACTATTCTCATCATATTCATTTTACTCTTATTTATTCATTAAATATTCTGATTGTTACTATGGTATATGAATCAATTCTATTTTGTTATAGCTACAATCATTATCATTATCCCATAATGATTACGTAACTCTTAGTTGATAATAAATATACCTGTACAACGAACAACAAATTCACAGACACACACGCAAATACATAACAAACATATTTGAAAAGTGTTTCTTTTTTAATAACGAATTCATATATTTTCATAGTAAAAATATAAAAGTTTCTATCATTCACATGTTCCAACACAGAAGTTCTTTATCTGGAACGTATAATCATTGAATTATTAAACAAGGAAATAATATATATATGTATAATGTATGAAATGAAATGATAATCATAACGTTGATTAGTAGATTAGTTAAAGTTAAGCATTAACACCGTTAGATGTCAACCAGCTCAGTGGTCTATAGGTTACAGGCATTCGAGTGTGAGACCACCATCACTGGATTAACTACTTCTATGAATTCGATGTTCATCTTGATATTACTAATGATGTATGGCAACTTGGACCGATTCATATATATACTTGGTCCTACGCTGAATCTGACTGACTGAATTGATCAATTCATCAACGTAACTGATACTTCGAAAAATCGATTGTTTTCTACTAGCTGACCACGGACTGGTAATTGGTTGAGTTTAGTTGTTGAGATCCTTCAATGAAAATATGTTTGTCTGTTATGAAACTTCTTTATACAAAACTATTACTGTTTTCATTAAAATGATACATTTAGTTAATACTTTGGAAGTTTATTATGATACTAAGATAAGACTATAAGTTATGGATGAATCAATCAGGTGTAAGATAACAGGTCTTGGATGTTGGCACGAACTTCATTCATCCATTTGACTTACTAGCGTTTTGCCATTATAGTTTATGTCAGTTCGTAATTAATCCCGCCTCCGCAAATTTAATTCCTAACCTTTAACCATCAAGTGTGAATCATAATCTTTGTTTCTTTACACAAATTTATAACCCAAAGTCTATCGATGAAATAATTAGTATCGTATCGTTCTATTGTTCCTTTTAATCTAATGGTGACTATTCCATTCAGATTAGCTTTACTCATCAAAACCAAATTGTTATCCAGTTATATCCGAATTCCTCTTCCTCTCAGTGAAAATATATCAGTTCCTTTTGGAGTATTCTCATTTATCTGAATCTTACAGATTTAGTTGTACATGATTCATATAAATACTTAAGTGATTTGTGCTGCTGATATAGACAGATATCAGTAGTATGTATCATCAATCAAATGTGAAATGCCTAGTGGCAGAAAGCTATGAAATTTCGAAGAGAAGTGTTCTAGAACATAGAAGGTATGGTGTAATGATGATGAGGATGATGTTCTATTGAAATCGGTTGTGAGTTTTATTCCAATGATTTCAGGTTTCCCCTAATTGTCTAGCTTCAATAAATAAATAATCTCAACTATTAAACAATCACTATAATATCCACAACAACCCCCCTTCTGATAAGAAACTTGAAGATTTTACTAATATTATCTGTTTCTTTTTTGTTTTTTTGACTAACTCTCTCCTCCTCCTCCTCGCTCTTTCTTCCTATAGGAATTGTAATGTATTTGATTTACCAAATTTACATCATTAGTGAAATGAATGAAAGTATTTTTATTCTTTCTAATTGATTTATTGATCAGGCTATAATATATGGACGATCTATGAGTAACATTAAAGTGATTTTGAGAATTTCCAACAACTTATAGGGGTCTGATGAGTGTTATGAATCTGGGTGAATAATAAGGATTATGATTAACAGTTGATGATGAAGTCTGTGAAGGACTAAGACTCTCAACAGTGCAATAGCTCGGCATTTACTTGACACCGGGCATACCGTCAACATTTTGCACGCTTCTCTTCGCTGAATCGATTACGGTAAAAAAAAATTTCAACCGGATTTACACACTCAACTTATTATTACCCTGGTAATCCAATTTTTTTTTTATTGTTGGTTATTTGGGTTATTTGTATTCATTTATTTATTTTAAAATATTAATGTTGTGTAATATTCCTCCTTCCCCCAATACCTAATTCATAAATCAACTTTTCATTCACACATTACCGCTTACTTGATCCTTTTAAATTATGTTCAAATTCTATTTACTTATTATTACGTAACCCATCTTAACACTGATTTGATTCCATGACTCTTTCATTATCTCTAAAATGAACAGAAAATTTATCTTATCTGTCTCTGAACTCCACTCAACTATTACACCATCCACACTGAATTAATTCCTTTTGTTTTAACCTGTGACCTGTACTAGTATATAGTTATTATTGTAATCCATTTATTTACACTCATTTATGTCAATTGTTTCAGACTATCTCAATGTAAATAATTCTGTCACATTTTTTTATTTGTAAACAGCTGACGAAAAACCTCGAAGTAATATGAATTCATACTATTCTGCATCAATGTTTGTTCTTGCTTTATTTACATTCATCCAGCTTTATAGACAAAGACGTAACCACCTAGCTATTCACACGTCATGTAGACATAAGAAAGACTACCTCCAACCACATCGTAATTCATCTTAGTCCCCTTGATATCTATCGTATACACACAACGCTAACGACTAGGTTAACACAGCATTGGATACTGCTCAATTATTCTGTATAAAAATGAATTGAGATAAGACAAGCATCGTGTCATTAACAAAGAGAAATTGAGATATGTTGTGTTACATTTCTGTTATTCGCTTCGTATTATTTTACAGTCATTTCACAAGCACAATTCTAACACTTTTCAAATGAGACAAAGTAAATACAATTTAATTTTTCTTTACAAGCTAAATATTTATATAAGCAGAGATGGATAGTGGTTAGTAGTGGAATCCAGTTTGACACGTGTTTCGTCCTATTTGCAACTCGTCAGTTGGATGTCACTGCATCTCAGAGTTGATGTTCACTATGGGATTCGAACCTAGTATCGTTTGTGTTATCCACTTAGCTTCTGTGTTCTGAAAGCCAAATGCTTGTTTAATGGGGACAAGTGTCAATTCACATTCCAGTGTTCATCTATCACTTCACGATCCAAACCAATACCATAAAATTACCCAACTACTGAATCTTAATCCATAGAAACATTTAAACAAACACTATTTTCTTGTTTCTCTTTATTAGATATTTCTTTAAAATGACCTTCAGTTTTTTATTTCTCTATTCGAAATTCATATTGATTTTCTTTTTTCTATTTTTTTCTTTCTTTTCATCATCAATAAGAAAATTACTATCTGCACGTTATACGAAGATAATTGGTCCAATTTTGTTTCTCTTAGAGATAAGCCAGACAATGTGGTGGGGTGCATTTTCATATTTGTAACCTTCATGTAAATTTAGATTGATCTTCAAAGAGTAAGGTGTATTTAACCTTCTTCTCTTTGTCTCTCTCCCTTTTTCCTTTCCTTATTTTCTTCAATACACATTCTGTGAAGAACTAAATTGTCATGAGCGACGAAACACTATGATATCTAACTCCTGTAGCACTTCTACAGTTACTGACTGTCCTAAGCCTAGGTAATGGAGGAGAGTTGTGCATGACAATAACGAACACATCTTGTAGAATACTTAGTCGCTTAGAAAAAAGCACTCACCAGAAAACATAATTCAATTGTGATATCTATCAATAGATTATTATGATTATTAATGAATAGACTTCCCTAATGTGAGTGAAAGTGATAGAGAACTAACATGATAATCAGTTCTATTATTGAAGTGAAATATTGATGTAATCAATATATACTTTCAAGTTGATTCAGTTGAAGTAACAAAACTTCATTTATTTCATTAGATAAAGATATATATCCGCCTTTTGAAACAATTCAGAAAGAAGAGGGATTTGTGAAATTTAGAGTAATTTAATCGTTGAATTCATGAGTTAAATAAAGCTAGTCGATCTTAGAGAACATGGAATCATTGAACGCTGGAATAATTTCGTGGATTGTTTGAAGTTAAACAAATACATCTCTGGATGGTGATCAGTTAAGCATTCGTGAGCGAGACAGAGAGTTCCATGGTTCGAATCCTCTGTGAGATCATGATGACGCATGAATATCATTGACTGTTTGTTGTTTCACTTGTATTTCGTCTACTCCGCTCTGATCAGGTGGAAACTCATCATTAAAATCACTAATTTACTCGAGACCATAATATAGTTAACAACAAGAAAGTGTAGATGAATCAATGCAGAACATAGCACTATAGTCGATGAACTGTACCTGTTTGACCGGAATACAACAAGTTACCCTCTCGTACTCTTGAAACCGTTCACACTGAGGATCGTACCTTGACGATTCAAACGCGATTATATGTCTGAATATTACTCAAAATCAGCCTATCTATTTCAGTTTTTCTAATCTACTATGCGTGTTTGCACAAAACAATATTTTTCATAAAGTAAAACTAGTGAGAAAAATGATGATCATTATGTGAGTGTGTGATATGCCGACATCTGTCTGTCGACCACATTTATTGTTTGTATAAACGTCATTAATCATACTTGTTTTTATTTATCACCGTATTTTATCATACACATCAAGTTATCTGATGTTCTCTATTTACTTTGAGCATAGAAAGGAATGTCGCTTTCTAATGATTCATTCATATGACTGACAATCACTGACAAACATACAGCAGAATGATGAATGAAATTCTCAGTTTACAAATAGTCATTAATTTCCA